TCCTTCCTTCCTTCCTTCCTTCCTTCCTTCCTTCCTTCCTTCCTTCCCTCCTTCCTTCTCAGTGGGCCTAACCGTGGACACTATATCACCATCGTGAAAAGTCATGGCTTCTGGCTACTGTTCGATGATGATATTGTAGAGGTGAGTAAATCGACAAATTGTAATCAAACCTACCAAGCCTTAATTGAGCCTGTTTTTGTGTTACCGCATTTCATTTGCTGAAAGTAGAATCCTTATTATTTTAAGGCAAAGTTTCTCCACCTGGTCAACTTTCAAGGTGTGTGGATTTCAACTCCCAAAATTCCTCAGCCAGCTTAATAGACATAATAATATCATTCTCCCCCTTGTGATTTGGAGGAATTCATGTCTTCCATGTTTTTTTTTTCAACAGTGCCTTCAAGGATTGATTTTTTTAAAAAGTCAAAATGGCAGCTAGAATACAGGCAGTCCTCAATTTACGAACCATTGCTTAGCAACCATTCAGAGTTCGAACAGCCACTCCCCTTCTCCATTATGTAATCACATTGGCAACTGGCTCATGTTTCTGGCCCTTTGTACTTGATCACGATTTACATTTTTGCTGGAAATGAACATTTAATTTGTTTTCCAGCAAAAACAGCCCTTGGCGGACATGGATTCGCTTGTATTTACCGTATTCCCTTAAGCACCCATGGCATTTGTTTAATGACAGCAGTGATTCACTTACTGACCACTGTAAAATAAAAACATTGCAAAATAGGGTGTGGTCGTTTGTTGACCCTCTTAATAACCAGCCTAACCTGTGACCATAATTTCAGCCTCATTTACAGTCATAAGTCAAGGACTATTGGTTGTGCAGTCAAACCCAGATGGAACTTTGATCAGTTGTTGCACTCCTACTGTCACAGCAATTTTTTGTTACACCGCTTTTTTTTTTACCATACCATGTGAAGGACCTTTAGTCCTTCACAGCAGTTTGTAACTCAACCTTATAACTTGCTAGTGTTCTGACCCAGCCTTATCAGGCCCTTGCAATAAT